AACCCTAAAATATGGTAATAAAATGTCATTGCCACTACTTTTGGATACCCCTAAGTACAATTATGTTAATTTGTACAATGATTACTTTAATACGGATTCGAACTTCAAGATATTGAATGGGTGTTTTAGATAATCGAAGAAGAAAATCAATACATCATAATATAGATCGTAATTTAATAACTTTATTGTTCGTTCAAGTTGGTTTAGGAATATTCTTAGCGTTCTTTCGTTGTGCTTTTTTAGTTTATAGTCTATCGCCAATTAATATGAAGAAAAATATTTATAGAATAACTGTGGAAGTATTTTTCGATAAACTTTCTCCTGTTATTTATTATATGAATTTTGCTACATCATTTCCTGTCAATACACTTACGAGTCCACTTTTTCGTCGGGTCTTTCCTCGAAGAATAATCAGTTTGCTTAGATCAATATCGAATTGTACACAAGCAGAATAATGCAACTTCATTAAAATAAAATTACTTTAAACATTTGACAAATTTTGATATTAATTTTTCTGACAAAGAAAAGAAAGAAAAAGATTTCGAGCATGAATAGATTAATAAAGAGATGATTTGATTTCAAACTAGATATGAGATTTATTGATTTCGACAAACAATTCTTCGATCAATCTTCGAAAGTTTCAAATCTGAAGTTAAATTTTTATTTTTTTGATCAACATTTATTCCGTTTTAACAAGGAAAATCATTTTGAATCTAACGAGAAAAACTTCGGATATTTGTTGTTCTTTTAGTTTATAATAATTAACAGCACTGTTTTGGTTGATCATATCGATATGGGTGTGGGTGTGGGTGTGGATGTGGAGTGTGGGTGTGGGTGTTCTATTAACAAAGTGCCACACCCACACCCACGCCCATACCTACACCCACACCCACACCCAAATCTACACCCATACCTACACCTACACCTACACCAACACCCCACACCCATACCTATATCCACATCTACCCACACCCACACCCAGAATAGAGAAAAGTGAATTAGAAAAAAAAGAAGGAAAAATGATTATGTTATGAGTTATTGTTTGGATAGCTCCATTTTGCTTAACATTTCATGTGAAGCAGTGTTGCAACCGGTAACAGTATACGGTCGGTCCGGTTCGGTAGAGGATTTCTTATCGGTTGGTATAGATGTTTTCAAGTATTTGCATGGGTTTTTTTGCATATCAAACAAGTCTTACTGATGTCAATGACTATTTGTATGAAAAGAAACATGCATTAAAATGTTTCTATTAAGTGAATATTCATCAAAATATGCCTAATATATTTTATCAAATTATATTATCGAAACACAATGAAATTATTATTCATCATTGTAATTTATTATATATTTATTTTCATTTTGTATTATTTATATCATATCTTTTCTAGAGTCAAAAGAAATGACGAAATGTTTCTGTTCGATGATCATTTCATTAGTATACAAAGATAATATAGAATTTGTAGTCATATGATATTTTATGTTCATTAATAGATGCGAAAAGAAGAGAAAACTTATAGAATGATGGAAAATAATTCAGCGCAATCGGTACAAAACTAAATATTATACATAATGAAGCTACTTTAACTATTGTGGAAGCCCAAGAAGGAAAAGCCGAAAATTCCGTACTTCAGTGTACTCCAAGGGTATGCCAATGTTTTCCTCTAGTACTCGTGATACATCTTGCTACCAGACTTGATATAGTTCAGAAGTTATAAAAGACATTTTTGGCAAACCCTTGAAGTATGCTAAAGTACGGAATTTTTACTTTTTTCCCTGGAGGAAACCTCATCATCCATATGAGAGACCATGACAGGGCCAAAAACCAACATGTCGAAAAACCTACTAGGCCGTTACAGACATATAGAAATCTTTGTCACAGCCTGTCAGTAGGTTAAAAGAATATCGACACGTTTGTAACAATCTTTGAAGCAAGTTGAGAGGGATGAGATTAATTTTCTCGGCATAACATCGGATTTTTGAAATGAATTAAAGTAAACTATCGAAATATAGACAAATAATGGAAATAACTAATGCGAAAAAAGATTGATTTGAAATAAACTTAGACACTTTAGATGAGGGTATGTTTGGATATTAGAAAGAAACACTGACGAGAACAAAATTATTTTTACACAATAGTCGATAAAAGTAATTATCAAAATAATTGACTTGAAGAATTAATTGACAAATATCAAACAAATTTAATTGTTAAGTTCAATGATAAAAAAAATAAATGATCACGATATTGAAAATGCTATTAATACAACTTTAATTAATAAACAATGTCAATCGTTTATTTAATGGGATAATCGTTGAACATCATATTGAATATCATGATTATCTTCTTCCATAAGTATAAATACAACATTAAAGAAGTTGAGTATTTCGAAGAATCATTTATGTTATGTAATTATAAGATATTTATCAGAATCACTTTCATTTAAAGATTCAGCATTAAAACAAAATTAGTTCTTTCTTCAAAATGAAATTATAGATGAAGTTCTTATTTATTTATCAGATATGTTAAAAACAAATAAAACTTTAATTATGCTTGGATTACAAGATAATAAAATAACTGATAAAGCTGTTCAATATAAAAATAAAGTTATTGAAGAAATATTTTTAGATTTAGATGAATTAATAACTGATGTAAGTATTGATGTGAATATGGGATTGTCAATTATCTGAACAAGGAAAATGCAAACTTTAACAATCTATTCAATCAAAAATTGATTTTTGATCTTCGACTATAATACATCGATGAATTAGACTTTATTTTATTCAACATATTTTTATTGGTTATTTTCAACATACAGGTGTTTGCAAAAAAGAACTTGGAAACCTTCTTCCACAGATATCACCTTCTATACAAGTGCTCTTTGAATTGTTTTATATTATAGTATATAGCCCACGAAGAGTACTATACAACAGTATAATTTCATATTCCCTTTATTCACTTCTAGAAGTATCGAAGAGGAAAAATCATGCCTCTATATATATAGCGTGTAGTATATCTATCGAGGGTTTACTCTTCAAAAAATGACTTTCGTAATTGTTTACAACAGTAAAGAAAAGGTTTTGAAAAAAAATTTTTTCCAAATTTTTTTTGCAAACATCCGTATATCGAATAGGACAGGAAGAAAATTTTCTCCATTGTAGCATGATGAAAAATTATTACGCCTTGCCACATCGTCATTTTTTATCTCATTACAATCAGCATCCGTCAGGAAGTTGCTCTTTAGAAAAGAATAGTTAGTTCAATTTAGCATTATTGTTACCGATAAAAAAAAAGTAATTTCATCTTGCCAACTATCTTACAGTTTTCTATTGCGCTTGCGATAGTGGCAAAAATCGTTGAGCTATCCATATGACACTACATTCTACTAATTTTAGAAAAAGTTTAGAAAAAAGACGAAGTAAGAAGCTGAGGATGAAGGTGTACACGGTAGACACAGCGAAATGAACAAAGATTCCTATTGGATCTGTCTTAGCATCTTGATTTCAGACATGGAAGGTTTAGATAAACAAATTATGAGAACAATTGTTCGATATTCCTCTATGGATCTTGTACAGATAATACCGACATCCGTCCATGTGATTATCTACACAAAACAAAGTTCTTTACACACTAAATTTAAATGCGTCGTGTTTATGTATCGTGAATTATTGTGTCGTGCGCTCCAGCACAAAAATGTGTCGTGCTTAGAATGTGTCGTATACGAATTTGTCGCGTTCTGTCTGCTGACTATTCGTTCACTGTTTTGTTATGCAAACATAGCGATATATAAACGACGCGGTTGAACGTACGAAAAATAAATTTTCAAAATATTCTTTTTTTCTAGATTATTTCTCGATCATTTTTTTTTATCGAGATAATGCTAATCTCGATTCATGATCGAGAGAGGACTACCCCGCAGTGGTCTGATGCAAATCTGACCTGCTTCAGTTTTCAAAATAGGAATAATTAAATGGAATTAAATTGAAAAAAAATCGAAATATTTTTTTTCCAAAAGAACCAATAGAAAATGTGTTGCATGTGTCGTACGAAATGTGTCGTGGTTTTGCTGGAGAAAATGTGTCGCAGTGAGCTCCTCGTGTCGTACTTTAATGTGTCGTACAATGTATCGCAAATCACGACACATGCGACACATTTTAACTTAGTGTGTAGGCTGAACTGACTTTTTGTTATCTATTCTCATGAATGAGCAGACACTACTTTTATCACTTAGTTCAACTCTTAAATGACACCTTTTATAGCTATTTATGCATCTTCTGTTCCATATTGTATGACAAATATGTTTTACACTGACTATCATTTGAGAGTGTTATTTCTCATAAAATGAACATTTTTTTTTCTTTCTTGATAATGATGATGATGACTGAGGTGTAAAATAAAGAAACTAGATGGCTGTTTACGAGCCAAAAAAAAACTCATTCTCTTGAAATGAACGTTGTGTCAGATACATGGTTGAATTGTCATTTTTTTTGCTACTTTGTTTTGATTCGTCAAAATTGAGGAACTTCTGAAAGTCATATAAAACAGTGTTATTATCAACAAACAATTCACAACAGTTAGTAAGTTAAATAATTTTCATCTAATTACTTGTGAAAGTTATTTTTATTTCTCGACTAGATCAATGAGAGCCATTCGATATTTACTTCAAAATCTATCTCAGCTCAATTTATTTATTGAGCCAAATAAGCAGAATGAAAATAATCATCGGACACTACGCAATCAACTTCTGGCAACACGGATCTATTTGATTCTTTTGATTATATGCATATTCATTCTTGTGCTCTATACTTATTCGAGCAGAAAAAATGTCTCAATCAGAGTACAAAATCCATCAGTCGACATGTATAATCGTCTCGAAGTTGCCTATTCGGATACATTATCGTGCCCATGCCGAAATATATTATTTCAATACTCCAGTTTTCTGTCCTTTCAAGGGACATACCATCCGGTAAGAATTTTCGTACTAGTTAAAAATGGCGATAGACAGAAAAGAAAACTCCATTCATTATTGTAACACACTAAAGTAAAAGATTTATCTTAATGAAGAAAAACAGTAGAACGATGGATAGTTGCAAACACTATTCAGAAAAAGCTGTCAGCGCAATCTCTGTGAGTTAAAATATGAAACACGATGCAGCTGTTGTTACTAATCACGAGAATATTGTGTTATTCGATCTATGTTGTGACGCATTTTTTCATCATCTTTTACTTAATCCTTTAGAACTGTAAGGGGGAAGCAGTTCATATATTCTCATGAGATGTTAGTGATATATGATTGCTAATAGAGTATCAAAAATGTTTGTCACGTTTTCTAATAGTTCCTGGAGGCTCCATGCCACAGTCTATGATCAATCGCGAGTCCTTCTGTCACGATCTGCGAGGAAGGAGGAGTGAATCCGAATTTCTACCCCTATACACATCAACGCTCCTTTTAGATACTGTTTCACAATATAACTACATTTATTTATTTCGACTAAGACGAACTCAAGCGAACTTGAGCTATTGAAGTTATGATAGTTGCAATCAAATAATTGCTTTGAAACTATTTTCTTTAGACTCAATAATGCACTTATAAAAGTTGTTTTTCAAGATCTACTTTGATTTTAATTTCAACAAGTGTCGGTTCTAGAAGCAAACTCGAATACATTCATATTAGGAGCAGTTTTGATAAACGAAAACGTTGGAAAAGCTCGAACTTCATTCAATACTAACATTTCTTAAATAATGTCATTTGTTTAGATCTTTAGACGAAACTGGGGCTGGTACTTTGTCTTTACTTTACCAAATAAAGTAAAATATTCGAATTTTACTTTGCCCGATAAAGTAAAGTATATTCACTATACTTTATTGGATAAAGTAAAGTATATATACTTTACCCAAAAAGTAAAGCAAAGTAAAGTGAAAAAAAAATGAAGTTACATTCTTTAAATTTTTTGGCAATTTCCAAGTTCAGGACCATGTATAAGTAATCTTAGAACGTATCAAAGTTTATTCAATATTGTTTCGTGTTAAAATTAGTATGAAAACAAAAATAAGAAAAGTCGCAAAAAAGGTCAATTTTTTTATGAATACATGAAAAATATTGTTTGGTTCACTTTATCTCACTTTATTTTCCACAGTTTGAACCATAGTATTTCACTTTACTCTACTTTACTTTTTCAAAGTAAAATAAACCCAGGATGAAGCGAAGCCATCGGATTCTATCGAATTGTCTTCAAGTCGACAGAATTCTATCGAAAGCCAACGGGAATCCAGTGACTCAGATTTTGATATAAAATTCGACTGGATTCTATCGGTTTTCGTCGAATTTCGACAAAACTCGATGAAATCCGGGTGACTGGAATTTTTGACCTTGGAAGATAAAGTGCTATCCCTAGACAAAACTAAGATAGTAAAACCTATGGATAGAGAATCATGTAGTTGTACGAAACTAATGTTGATACTAATAAATGAATGTTAAGACTCGCATGAATTAATGTCATTACTCTTAGCCTTCTAATAATTTCTCTCTTTCAATATACAGGAAAATTCTAACATAGAGTGATAGTTCTCTAAGGATTTCACAAGTCATTCCGGGTTCATATACTGATCACACGTGATAATACAATCACATTAGGATTGATATCAATAGATACGAAGATTCACACATGCATACTACAATAATAGTTAGTGAAATCCTAAACTATCAACGCTAATAAAATAAAATAATTTAATCTAGTTCTACAGAAAATCAGAGAGATTCGAGAATTTACGAGATTCGAAATATAACCATACTTTAGAGTGAATGACTTGTTTTCTTTTCTGAACAGATATGTTCCAGTGAATTGTTATCGGATAAATGGATTAGTTCATTGTACAATGCAGAAACAACAAAGATGACTCCACTCGACTTTCGTCTAATTGCCACAGCTGTCTTTCGACTAATTTCAATGCATTGTTCATTTACGAACACAACAGTGAATAATCTTCTAAGTTTGTTTTCTACTAATCTGTTAGGGAGCGCTCGAGTTTTATCAAATGCATCACTCGATGTTCAAGCAAAGGTTCACATCAACACTTTCAATAAATCTATGACGGCCTTAAAGTCATCATCATTTTTTGGTCAACTAATTCAGTTTATGATTCAACTAAGTGACACTTACTCGGCAGTGCACACAAACGCATTTCAGATGAGTATACCCGGCTCGGATCAGTACCAAGTTGTGACCAACTTTTACCCACGTCATGACAATGCGTCTTTTAGTCATGTAAGTCACTTATTGTGATCCTCCACGAACAAATAAAAGGATTCAAACAGTGAACCATTCAGACCAAAAAAAAAAAGCAGAACGTAACCAAAGTTATTCTATATTAGAAGAGTGGTTCCTTCACATTCTCTGTATAAGATCATGTCTGAGAAAAAGTTCAAACGCTCTATTAGAAGGCCATGTACTTATCGATTAATATTTCCCACAAATATCGAGCTTTTAAAAAATATTAATAAATAATTTTGAAATATACTCACTTTTTGTGGTTTTTGGTGGAATTTACTCCTGTATTTTCATCAATAATCTATTTCTAACTAAAGAACGCATTTTTCAGTGGAAAAAAATACCTTGAAAACATAATTTATAAATATCAATCAAATTAGTAAAAATATTGACTCTCCAGGAAAAGTCCACTAAAAAATGTG